AGGAGTGACGTGTGTGCTATTCCCCCCCCCGCCCCGCCCCTCTCTTTTTAAATACTGGTTTGCTCCTCTTGGTTTATGTTTCAAAGTAATGTGACTCCAGTAAATACAGTGTTGGATATTAGGTCTCCCAGGCTATCCTGCTGCTTGTGGGGAAGGCTCCTGACATTCTGGCTTCTAGACAGAGGGGTTCCCTCTTGGGAAGTGCCCAAGGGAGGGCACAGACTCACCCTCAGCCCCATCTCCTTGGCCTGCTTCTCCCTTCAGGATGAGGGAGCGTGACGGTGTCGTGGGCTGGCCTTGCTGAAAGCCTTATAGCTGAGCCTTTGGAGAGGATCAAGTGGATTTTGCAATTGCCCAGCTTTTTGGTAAAGAGAACAGCTGCGGGGTGACTCAGGATTACCTGCCTCCTTTTGGTAGTCGGTAGTGGGGAGCTCTGGGCTGCCCCCAGCCCTGGGGGCAGCCGGTGGGAAGCCTAGCTGTGTGGAGGGCGAAACTGCCACACTGGTCTTTTCTTCTTAGTTGCGAGGGGGGTTTGGACTCACCATTTTCTGACTGTTTTCCCTGTAAATAAGAGTTTTGTACAATGTTGACTCTTGGGGGTGGGGAAGAGCGAGGCCTGAGTCTGGGACTTGATTTGTTTCATAATAACTTTGGCAGGAGCTGCGTCTCCAAGCTGTGACTGTGAGCGGCACAGGAAGAATAAAAGGTTTTGGTTTTTTGTGGGGTTTTTTGGTGTGTTTTTTTTTTTAACTAGCCTGCCTCTGGGGCTCCTCTTCTTCACAGCAGCTGCTGCTGCTGACCGGGCGGGAGCAGGAGGGGCAAAGGAGGAGTATGGAAACATGCACACCCTCAACCCCACACTGATGCTGGAGCCATGCTGCAGCCCTGCAAGCCCCTCAGAGCTGGCCCCCAGCCCTGCAGCGTGTCCTGCAGCCAGAGCTGCTGCTCTGCCCCTTCCCTAGCTGCAAAAGCTCACAGCCAGAGCTCGCCCACGCAGCCGGTGCTTCCCAGTCTTGCCTCCCGCCTGAGCTTTGGTCCGCTGTGTGCAGCTCTGTCTCTGCGGAGCCAAAGGCAGACTCCCTTCCTGCTGCTTGGAAAAGCGGGTGGCCCCTGGCCCACTGACGTGCTGGCATCAAACAGCTGCCACATTCCTCCTCTGGGGTGTTCCTCTGTCCTTTGCCCCTTCCACTGGGTTTGTCACTCCTGGGACGCGTTGGCAGGGGTTTAACCCAGGGCTGCACCCTTTGGCTCTGCCGTGGCACCCAGCCACCCTCCTTGCCCCACCCTTCCCTCTGCCTGGGGCTGAAGGGCTTTGTGCTCCCACCCGCACCTTACTGGGGACGGCTGCAGCTGGGCAGTGGTAAATCTGCAGTGGGGCCCAGTCTGTGGCTTGTCGTGGCTGTGGCCTGTGCTCCCTGCATCCCTCTCCCCTCTGCTGCCCACTCGGGATCCGGGAGCACTGCTGGGAGAGCTCCAGCAGATGTGGGTGTTTGCTGTGTCGTTAGTCCTAAGGCAAGGGTGAAATTGTACCCGGGGGGGAGCTCAGGGTGTTCCCAAACTGGTTCTGAGTGCCAGGTTTTGCTTCCTTGGCTGGGCCTGGGAGAGGTCACCAGCTCCCCAGGGGGTGGGGGGGTTTCTCCCAGCACGGGGTCTCCCCAGGCCCCTGCAGCGTAGGGTGCTGGGCTCCTGCTGACGTGTGGGAGCAAAGCTGCCGGGGCCATGCGCTGGGGGCTGTTGTTTGCCTTGGGCTCATACCAGCGGTGATTTCCAAGCCCGGGGCAGCCAAGGAGGGCAAACTGCCTCCAGCACCCTGCTGTGGAGCTCAGCGCTTTTTCCTTCTCTTCCTCGCCCCATCCCGGCTGCCAAGCTGCTGACTACGTGGGCAGGGAATGCTTTTAAATGGCTTCCTCTATCGCCTGCAGCGGATGCGGGCAAAATCCCTGCGGACACCTGGGTGAGGAGCTGGGCCAGCTCCTTCCCCTGCCCGGCAGCTCAGCCGCGGGGAGGGCAGCGAGGGCTGTGCCCAGGAGCTGGCCCGGGCCGGGGGGAGCTTGGCAGGAGAGCGGCCGCAGCCCTGACTGGGTGCCAGGGGAATCCCAGCGCGCTCTCCTCGCATGCAGAAGCGCATTCCTTCCCACGCGTTTCCCTGGGAGCGCTGACCCGCGCTTTGATAGCTGGTTTCTCTCGCTGACCCCTTGGACGCCTGGCAGTCCCGAGCACAGGGTCAGACAGCTCTCCCAAGGGGCTTTTTCGGGGTGGTGGTGGGGGCCCCTCCTTATGGCAGGGCTTCAGCCCCGAAGCATCTTGAGAAACCAGTGTGGGCTTGGGCTGGGGGAGCGGGAGTCCTGCCGTCCTGGAGACAGCCAGGGACCCCCCCCAGCCTCCCCTGCAGGGATCTGGCACAGGAAATGCCCTCTTGGAGTGCCCTAAACTGCGCCCATGGGTCCCCAGCCCAGCCAAGCACCCTGGGAGACCCAGCCAAGGGAGCCCGTGCCCTGGGGGTGCCAGGTGCTGGTGGAGCTGAGCACCCCAGGGAGCCCGTGGCTGTGCGGTGTGGTTAAGCTGAGCACCCCGGGGTGCATGTGGGCACCCAGCTGGGTTGGGTGAGCACCCCAGGGTGCATGGGGCAGGGCTGGCTCAGCACCCTCAGGAGCAGGAGGGCATGCAGCATGGCCAGCTGAGCACCCTGGGGACACCCAGCTGGGCCAGCTGAGCACCTGGGGAGCACCTAACTGGGGTAGCCAAGCACCCCAAGGAGCAGGGAGGGACCTGGAGCTGAGCAGCCTGGGGACACCAAAACCAGGTAAGCTGAGCACCCTGGGGACACCCACCCGGGCTAGCTGGGGACACCCAGGTGGGGCAGCCGAACACCTCAGGGACACCCACTCGGGCCACCTGAGCACCCGGGGAGACCCACCCGGGCTAGCTGGGCACCCTGGGGACACCCACCCGGGCTAG